AAACGAACTCCAGGCAGCAAGGATTGAAAAGTGATTACATTTGTGAAGGAAAGTGAACTCCACTGATCTGATCACCACCAGAAGACAGCACCCTGGGAAGTGGAGGGGCTAACTCGCTGGAAAGGAGAGGGAGGGCCGGGGAGGCCAGGCTGTTCCCGTGCAGCCGGAAGGAGAGGCCTGCGCCAGCACACAGGTTACTAATGGTCACTTTGGGCAGGTTCTCCCCTCCTCCACTGGGAAGGAAGGACTGCAGCTTCCCTGGCTCACAGATGGCTCCCTGGGGCCATGAGCTCCTCTCGGATTGACTCCACACTCACTGAGCGACTCTGGCTACAACTAAATTTCTCACATAGCTTGCCTACATGGAAGAAACACACCAAAAGTCTGCACCGTTTGAGTTACTTAAGTGATCTGTTTTGAGCTTACCACATCACGCAGGAAGGAATTATGCTATTACTCATCCTCTTATTCTCGAGGTTATCCAATGGAAGTTTTTAAAAGTAATTTTTTATAGAGGTAAGGATACAAAAAATGGATAGATGCACACGCCATTTATTATTTATTAACAAAAATATTTTTGAATGTCTACTATGCACCAAGCAAAGTGCCAGAAAGCTGGGGTATGCAAATGAAATTATGGGGTACTTCAGACCTTACAAGGCTATGGCTGAGGGGCTGGGGAGGCACTGTGAAGGGTGCTGTATGGGACCGAGCTTCACACATGTAGGAGCCAAACATGGGACCCAAGAAGGCTGCCCGTGCCGAGGCTTAACCGGATCACGGGACATTGTCTGTAGACCAGGGTGGCTTATTTGAAGACTTCTGGAGCACAGAAGATGAGGTGGGGAACAGCTGAGCAGACAGGACAGATCCAAAATTTAGTGTTTTTTTTAAAAAATGAAATACTGAGGTGTTTAAATATGGGGTTGACAAGAAGCCATTCTGACCACATGGGTGGGTTTTACGTGTTTCTCCGTCCCTTGGCCAGCAGGGTGCAGAGCAGACAACGGGGTTAGAGAAGAAGCAAGGCAGAAAGGAAACCCTCACAGGAAGTGGATCCAAATGTCTGAAGGTCTAAGGGTGTGGCCAGACTAGGCAGCTGCACAAAGAGCTGAATACGAAAGGCAGGAGACATATAAGAAGCAGAATAAAAAAATGTGTAATCACTGATGACCAAGAGCGGGAGACATGCCTGTGGATCCAGCACCGGCTGAGTGATCTTTTCCGTGGGAAGAGCAGTGCTCTTGCCTGCTGTTCTAGGGCTGTTTCCATTTGAGAAATTGAACACCAGAGGTTTTAATGCAAACTGTGAGCAGCTGTGTGTCACCGACAGAAGGGATTGGTCCCATGATGCAGTGGCATCTGCCTCAGTTCTCAGGTGACAGCGCCCAGGAGGCTGTGAGCCTGGCTTCTTCCAGCTCAGCTGTGCTGTTCTGCCACTTTCCAAAGTTGGAGGTGCTGGAATTAAGATTTAGCCAGGATGGGGCTGGAACCCCAAATCTACCACTTACTTCAACTCTCACTTCCGGAGCAGCTTCACTCCCTCCAAGACAGAGATCTGAGTGCCTGCTAATGCGGATGGCGATTTGGATCAGACAAGACTCACACCTAAACTCATGCACCTCAGGTTTAGCGGACCAATCTATGCTCTCCTCCTTTCTCTTATATCTAATACGTGCATTGTTTTCAATATTTTTAAATGCTACAGCTTTATTTTCTATCCCATCTTTGACCCAGGAGTTACATCATGGAGCCCCTTTAAACACCCAAGAAGAAAGGTGTTCCATGGTTTGATTTTGTTATTGGTTTTCTAGTTTTATTCCATTATCCTCAGAGGGTGCTGCTTGTTTTCATTCTGTCTTATGCAACCCACAGTATTTTCTTTGTGACCTACTCTATGGCTAATTTTGTGTAGGCTCTAAGTGCAGTTAAAGACTATTTTCTATTACCAAAGTTTGCAGTGTGCCTAGATCTGCTTTGTTAATTACATCGTTTGAATTTTATATATCTTATTTATCCTTTATCTGTTACTCTCTACTTTGTCTTGGACTGAGAGAGGTGTATATTCATTATCTAATCTGCATACATGTCTATTTCTGCTTGTACTTTCTGCAGTTTCTACTATAAAGGCAGCTGCTGTCTTCTTTGGTATGCATTCGCATCTATCGAACGCTCCTTGTGAATTCCAGCCTTCTGCATAAATCAGCCCTTCCCTGCCTTCTCTTCTGCTTTCAGCTTGCATTTTCCCCAGTCACACATCAAGATCGAAATCGAGGCTTTTTGTTGTTGTTGCTACTTTGCATTTGCCTTGTACACTTTTGCCAGACCCTGTGTTTTTTACCTTTAAAAAAATCACTTCGTGTTAAGTGTGTCTCTTCTGGTCAGCATCAGTTTGTGTTTTGCAGACTTCACATTTCTGACTGGTGTGCTACACTTTGCCCAGCACATATTGGAATTTTATAAAATATTTGTTTCCTTTGCTTTCCTCCTTTTTTCCTTCAGCCAGGGGCAGGTCTCACCTAGGTTCTTCATCTCCTTTTCGCACCAGTTCTGGACCCGTGTGGCCCTGACACCTGACCTGTGAGCAGGATCCTTGTTTCTCATGCCGCCCGCTGGTCTCACACCCAGTGTAGCAGGCGTGCTCTCTCCCACTAAGGAAGAGCGCAGATCCACACCAACGGTGAGCTTGAAGAACACCGCATGCACATGACAGTTTAAAACCTCATCCTCCTCCACTGGCTGGACACACAGGATGAAGCTACCAATATCTGGATTAAGGCCTAACGTTTCTCAAAATATTCTTTAAAACGTAATTGGGGACCGAGAGAGGGAGGGAGGGAGGAGGGAGGTGAGGGGAAGGGAAAGTAAATAGAATTAAGATGTGTGATGTACATGTACCAAGTCCACATCATGAAAGTAATCATTCTGTACTGCAGACATGGACTAATATAAATAAAAATTTATAATAGGCTGTTATGTTATTGCATATAAGTCCACTGCTGGAAGAAACCCTAGAAATCTATTCCAACTTCCTTCCCAAGGTGTTAACTGCTTCTTTGATACCTAGGTAAATTTTCCAGTCTGTTTGCATTTTTGGGAAATAGTTGATTCCTGATGCTGCCACCCACTCTGGAGGCAGGGGCTTGAAGCCCAGCTGTGCCCGTATGGCAGCTGTATGACACTGACCACTTATAAGCACTCTGCCACAGTGCTTTATGGGGGCAAGGGTAGAATCTCAAGGACTATTAAGAGGACCAAGCAGGGACACAAAGTCAAGAGTGGGCAGGTGATGTGCAGGCGCAGACAGGAGATGAACTAGTAGTCCCTGAGGTGTAGGTACCAGGTGCGCTCATCCCCTGGTCAAAGGGAAAACCTCTACTGGGCTCCCATACAGAGGAACCCAGCCTGCAGCCCTGTGACCCAATAATGTCACTAGTTCTTTCAATTCTTTAGCAAAGTAGAAATGTCTTTATCACGTGAGATTCTCCAATTATTTAAAATGGCAACTGATTCAAATTTCTCCAAAACACAAGCTAGACCATTGAAAGAAATCACACCTGTCGGGTGGGTGCACCTATAGGCTATTGCTTTGCTGTCCTTGGTCTGAAGGAATTTGTGTAAAGCCAAGAGCAAGATAAATACTCAACAGATTGAGACCTCATCACATCTGAATCAAATTCTTAGCCATCAAATTCTTAGACAAGAGGGCTCCGTGGATGAGGTGGATGAGAGAGGGGGAAGAAGAAACACCGAGTAACAAAGACATCAGCTACAGGCCCAGGAAACAGGCAGAAATTGAGGAGGAAGCAAACAGACAAGAGATGGGAGTAGGTTCCGGAAGGACTCTCCTTTGGCCTGCAATCCTATCCCTTGTGCGGCTACCTGACTGACAGATCCACTGGCCAATCCCTGTGCAGATATAGCAGACGTGGGCGGGGCAGTGAGCCAGCCACCCCTGCTGGACCCCAGGGGTCCTTCCAACTTCCTTGGAGGGAGCTACTGGGAAGCCAGAAAAGGACACACAGCTGAGAGCCCAAAGGACAACTCTCTCCCGCCCTTCCTCCTTTGGCTTTCACCCCCTCAGCAACTCGGAGACCGGCCAAATGCCTCCTCTCCGGGTGGGGTGCAGCTGTCCCCACTGTTATAAATGAGGCCCAGAAGAGCTGCTCTTATTTTTAGCACTTTACTGTGGACACAAAGGTCACCATGAGGCCCCGTGTGCCGGCTCACTCCTCTCTGCATCTCTCTTATTTTCATGCAGCACGGATATTTTCTGTTCGGATGAGTGAAAGTCAGATATTCTGGGCAAAAAGGGACCCCAAGTGTTTGCTTTCTCGTGGCTGAATCCCTCTAATTGCCAGGGTTCGGGGGACATCTGTCCTGCAGCCTCAGGCTCTGGGCGGCAGCACCCGGGCTGGGGCCACCGCCCTGCCCTTTCCTCTTTGGAGCATAGAGAGGCTTAGAGCAGAGCGCAGCTTGAGGTTTCTCTCATTTAACTGCACGCCGCTGGGCCAGGGAGGCGCATGCGCTCATTGCCGTCTGAACTAACCGTAGGTTTTCCTGGGCTCACACTCAGGGATTCCCCCGTGTCACCTGCGCCACAGGCTCCCCCTCACCAACCCTCCAACCCTCTGCAGTAAGTTACCGTCCCATCCTGCAGGCGACAAAACCAAGGCGCAGCTGTCTGAGAAAGGCACCTGGAGTCACACCGCCTGGCAACAGCAGGGCCAGGGAGGGCACTCGCCAGGCCTCCACTTGCGAAGCCAGGCCCAGTGTACACACTCTTCAGGGGAAGAGGACAGAGGAGGAGGAGAGGGGGACTTGGATGGACTCGCGCTCACGCACACACGCGCGCACACGCGCTCTGTCACTGTCTCCAGTGTGGCTCCACGCTGCTCTTTGGGAAGCGCGGAGGTCCTCAGCTCATGGGCACAGCTTGGCCCAAGCCCCCTCGGACCGAGGGTGGAGACCCGGAGGAGGGCGGTGTGGAGCTGTCTCACCTGTTCTCGGGGTCGGCCAGGGCCAAACTCCGAGTGACGTAGCACATTTTCAGCGGGATGCTCTTCTGGTCTCTGTGGAAGGAGAAGGACTGCGAGGCCGGAGGGTCCGAGGAGCCACCCCCGAGCCGAGGGGACTCCGGGGGAGGTGTCTCCCACCCGATCTCCGACACCGGGGATCCTTTCTTCACGTAGGGCGTGGCTTCTCGCATGTACTTCACTGCAAGCGAAAAGACAAGAAGACTGAATTTGCAGAAAGGCAGGGTTCCTGAAAAAAACTTCAGTTGGACAAGTTCTAGGTAGTGAACCTCTTACATTCCAAATAAGAGGGAGAATTTTCTGTTCCTTGCAACATAATTATCTTAATATTTAAATTATATAAGGATGTTCTTTAGAACTTGCTGTTACAATGTGGTACGTTTGGGAATTACTTTCAGCTTTTTTCAGCTGTGACAGTATCTATCTTTTCTGCATCTAAGCTGCATTCTGGGAAGAAAGCTGGCAACAGATGGGCAGAGAGACCGACAGCATAACTTAGGCTAAAAGATATGTTATTGAATATAAATGTGAGGGGCCTGGCAGGGACATTCACTGACCATGGCACCTCGGACACTTATTGCTCACCGCATCCTGTTCAGAAACAAGGGCACGGTTTTCGGTTGAACAGCGCTCAGGATAAGGAGATATACACACACACGAAAATACATACTCTATGGCAAAAATTTGGAGTAGCAAAAACAACTCTCAGAGATAAAAACTAAAAAATGACAGGTTAAATAAACTGTCATCCGGCTCTATGCTCACTAAAAACGACTGTAAGATCTTTTCTAAGTGGAAACACAAACTTGGCAGTCCATCTACCGTGCTACCTTTGTATAAAATAATAAATGTATATACACTTATATTGACAATTATTGCTGGATATATGGACAGGAAAACACTAGCATGTTAGCTCTGGGGAGTGGAAATAAAAGTCAAGTTAATGAGGAAATAGGTCCTTTACAATTTGTCTACCTTTTAATAGGATTTTCATGTTTAAGCATGTGCACATATTACTTTTATAACATTTAAATAACAAAAATAACACAAGAACTAACTGTGAATGAAGCAGACTAAGTCCTGGTCCTTTCCCTTTCTTTCTTTCTTTCTTTCTTTCTTTCTTTCTTTCTTTCTTTCTTTCTTTCTTTCTTTTCTCTCCCTCCTTCCTTCTTTTTTTCTTTCTTTCTTTCTCTCCCTCCTTCCTTTTCTTTCTTTCTTTTTTTCTCTCTCTCTTTCTTTCTTTCTTTCTAGTGTTTTTGAGTCAGGGTTTTACTATGTAGCTCAGGCTGGCCTTGAACTCACTACATAGCAAAGATTGGCCTTGAACTCAGGGTGATCCTCCAGCCTCTGTGTACTGGGTGTTGGGCTGACGGGTGTGCCCCATGACACCTGGCTGAAGTGCTGGTCTTTGATGTGTTTGTCTTAGTATTAAGAAGTTTTCTTTTTAATTTGTTACTTCTTACATTCTGAATTCGAGCACTTGGTCCTTGGACAGTTTTTGAGACACAGGCAACCAGGCTCTTGGAAAGTGCAGCAGGAACATCTCTAACCTTTTCTTCCCTGGCCACACGCTGTGGCTCTCTGCTGCAGAGGCCGGATCTGAGTCCTGCCCAGTAAATGTCACCACAAAGGGCATCGAGTCAGAGTAAGTGCAAACTAGAGCACTCGCTCCAGATATCTGCTGAGTCGGTCCCACACACCGGTACCTCCACGGCCCATGACACGGAGCCAGGGTGAAGGTGATGAGGACCATACGCAAGAGTCCCAACGTCACAGTGGACTACACAGGCATTGAGGGTGTCCCGCCCAGACTCCGTTTTCTACAACTTCGCTGCTGGGTGTCAGCTGAAAACGACTCAGAGCTGATTCTGCTCGGAGAAACTGCTCTGGCCCCACAGAGACCTATGGTCCCTAGACAGTAGCTCCTCCCTAAGATCGAACACAGGACAAGCACACAAGCTACGGCACAAAGCAGAGCGAGCTACATTTTATAATGGAAATAAAGCACCTTGGAAGAACCCATTAAAAATAAAAAATTCTGGGAGCACCAAAATGGATCCAGTGTACAACGGCTTACTGAGCCGCTAAGATACACTCAGATGCACGCGGAGTGGACATACACTGGGAACTCAAGAGCAGATCTCAAAAATCACTGTATTCATCATACAAGGCAGAGGAGACGTCACTTAGAACCAACACATATTTTAAAAGAAGATTCCAGGGTTTTAACTGAATATAAGAGCGATAAGAGGACTGCATTGCTGCGAACCTGTCAGAGCAGGCTACGTTTACAGAAGCAGAACGATTATCCACGCAATGCACATTTTCATGTGCATCATTATTTCGGGGTACTGTATTCAGACATCATTATTTTGGGGCACTGTATTTAAACAGGAGCACAGACATAGAGAAAAAGTGTAGAAAGACCTAAACTGTGGAGAGCAAGAGTAATTAGAACCTGTTTGAAGATACTGAAATTTTTCACCTTTAAAATCATTTTTGTAGAAGCTGGAACATAGCTTTTTATTGTAGAATTATATTTATTGATAGACAGGAAGTCCAGGCATCAGTGGAGATGAATTAAAGATTTTCTTCTGAGTGCATGACTACTCTCTCTGGGCTGGAGTTCAGGATCAGTCTTTTGGGATCGATGCTAGCTAGAATGAATGGCATTTGAATTTGATCATAAAGGGTAGCCAGGACTTTAAAAAGTAGAACTAAATATCTTTCTTTTACATGGAGCAAGAGTTTGACTTAACTAGAGATCATATTCTTTCATGAGATTTGACTCAGCCACTTAGATGATGAAAAATGACAACCCTTCTTTTACGTAAGGTAGTCTGGTTTACAACTTTTATTGCAATTTCGTGGATGTCTTGGTTACTTTTCTCTACTTGCTGAGACAAAATACCCAGTACCTAAAATTAAGGAAGGGAAGGTTTATTTAGCTCACAGTTTGTGGAGGTTTCAGTCCACCATCAGCTGGCTGCAAGGCAGGGTGGCAGGGCACAGGGGTAGCAGTTCAAGGCAGCAGAAAACAGCAAAAGCAACAAGGGCAAAAAAGTGGGGGCACAAGCCTTTTTTCCTCCCTTATACTGCAAGCAGGTGACCTGCCCTGGAGCAGGTGTAGCACTCACATCGTCTCTCTGCCCTCTTTCTACACAGGCTCAGGATGTTTACAAAGGGAGGACCCGGGTCCCCCATGAGTCACTTGGTTAAACTTCTAAACTTCTCAAATTGACACAATGTATCAACCATTACAATAGCAAAGGGAGATTGGACCTCCACTTGGAAGGGGATAAAGAAGGAACATTTATCATACACCTCTAAGGAGGTTTCTTCTAAGGAGGTTTCTTCATGTGCCTGCTCATATTTTAGTTTGGAAACTACTATTCAAGGTCCTGCTTTGTGTTTAATAAGGGAAATAAGGTCTATAGAAGAAATAGCTGAGGTATCTTATTTACTGGGTGTCCAGGTGTTCACAGCCAATACAGACTAGCAATGCCTCCCTCTCCCTTTCAGACTATGCAGAAAGAAATGCTTTGTGGGACTGACTGTTCTAATTCTGGTAAATGCTGGTGGCTTTATATGGATGACTCCTTGCAGGTTAGTCTTATGCACACCAGCACACGGATGCTCAGAAGTTTATTCTACACGGACTCACTCTGCTAGTGAATGGTGGGGCTAGCACTGGAGTAACCAGAGATCACACTCTTTCACGAAATCTGGCCCTGCCACTTAGATGCAGGACAGAAAATGACAAGCTCACATGTTCAGACTTCATTTTATTGGTAGTAGTGACACTCATGGTGGTCTACGAGCAAGAGTGGGAAAGATCAAAGATGAACTTTAGGCAGAGCTTCTGGGAAGTAAGGTTGGATGGTACCTAAAGGGAAAGACATTAGACACAGATCTACTATTCCAGGGCCATGCAGGGCTACTGCCAGACAAAACTGAAGCAACATTCCTGAGTTTAGGTGTAAAGAATCTCAAAACTCTGTGGTTTGGGGGCAGAAGCACAGGAGGTGTACAGGAGGAGAATCAGCTGGAAGCAGCACGTCCTGTGTGGCAGAGCGCTGGGCTGCTGTGTAAGGGAGAGGTCACACAGCAACACCCCGAGGAAAGTACGCCACAGCGGAAATCAGAATCAACCTCGGGGAACCCTTGCAATCAAACAACTGAAGAAAGGACAAGGAAAATAAGTTAACAAGTTAGGGGTGGTAACTGAAAAATTAATTCCTTCAGTCAAAATTTATCAGTTGATTTTCATGGGAAATGATTCCTGATTCAAAGAATTTAGGCCTACACAAGCAGAAGAGAAGTAAGGAGATGACATGACTGGTTGTATTAAATACTCAGCCTGGTGGAAGGAGGTCCTAAAAGTCCTCCACAAGTCTCCAGGAGCCTAACAGAATCAAACGCAAATCCTTTCTGGAGAAAGGCAATTTCTTTCCAGGAAAGAACCCCTATGAATCATTCTGAAAGGCAAAGAGCTGGCATAAAGTAACAAAAATAGGTGAATACAGGAAAATAAGAACCTGCCAGTTTCAAACATACTAGTTAAAGGTATGTTTACAGAGGTCAAGGAGAGCTTGAGAGAATCAAGAGATTATTTTTACAAATGACCTAATAGATTGGGAAGAGAAGCAAACAGAATGTCTAGGAATAATAATAACAAGAAGAACAGAATTAAAAGTTTAATAACATATCAGAAAAATTAATGAATTATAGAGAAAATGAAATTCTATATAATCCAGCACAAAGATGCAAAAGAATGGGAAATACAAAATAGAGACTGAAAGATAGGAAAGATGAAGCAAGAAGGTGTGATATATGAAGGGTGACGAAAACTAGGGTGGACATTTTATTTTTTAAAAAATCCTTTACTCTGAACAGCCCTGGGACCATGCAGCTGAAAACTAGTGCAGATCTGAGTAGCAGGGGGTAAGTCTCAGTTTTTGTCACAAGACTGCACCCTTAATTCTTTTAGAGCTTAACGAGCTAGATTTTATAACAAATAAATACAGGTGAATGGGTGAGCGCTGTTCGTTAAAAACATGAGAACTCTTTTCCATGCACTTTGCTACGTGTTCCTTGTGTGCTCACTCATTTGAGCCTCACAACAACCTAGGAAACAAGCCAGCGTGGGATCGGTCAGCTTCTCACACTGGGACAAAATAC